GACCCACATGGACCACAGGGTGAGCGCCCCCTGCTGGCCCCACTAACACCTCTTCCAGCAGCAACCTTAGTTTTTACCAGGAGGTCTCCCATCCAGGTACTGACCAGGCTCACACCTGCTTAGCTTCAGTAGGTTGCCAGTTGTGAGTTGCAGAGTTGTTTTTTTCTCACAGGTACAAATTTAACCCATGAAATGATTTTTAATACCGTGGTTATAATTTTAAGGCTTCCAACACATATCCTGTGTGCATACAGAGATAAATGCTTTCTCATAGCCATTGATTCCTTGTAATGGTGGTCTTTTGTGCTGCTGTGAGTTTGAAATACTTGTCCTACAACTTGCAGATCCATGGTGTTCAATCTATTACTCAGATGTGCCCATTATGATGACTGGACTGAGTCCAATTTTCCTTGTAGCCTGTTTATCAATACCTTGGTAAAGAGAACACAGACAATTAGAAACAAGTCTATTGGCCTGTAATACCTGAGGTATTTATACATCTGCTTTGAAATGCAGAAACATTCTGCAAATGTTCAAACATCTATATTAATGAATATGCTATCATCTCCTGGTGCTCTCCTAATTTTTCCATGTCTGGAATTTTAACCGTTCTACCTTTTGTTTGCTAGTTCACTACTGTTGGTGTAGATTTTTATGGAAGTTGTTTGTCCTTCAAAATCAACAGTCAAGTGTCAGAAAGTCAAAGACATTTAAACATCAGCATGTGTTGCCTGTGATAAGATATGGATGTGCAATCTGGAACCTGAATATAAAAATTAAGTCCTAGAGAAGTAAGTCAAGACATATGCTTGCAATAAGTAGAGAGGAAGAGAGATGAACAGGTTTGGGTCACAGAAGTTTATGATGTTACGTTAAGAGTAAATCTACAGTAAATTGTGAATATACAGTACATGACATAGATCAAGAAGGTTCATGGCCAAACAATAAATTAATTTTTGGTTTAAAAGACTGGAAAAAACCTCAAAAAAGACCATTGAGAAAATGATGAGATGGAGTTTGCAAAAGCAACTGAAGACAGAAGTTTATGGTAGTTAATAGAAGTATCTTCAGACAGGAAACTGATTATAGGCTGAAGAACATAGTAATACATACACCTTTTGGTACAATACTATACCTCCAGAGATGCTGGTTGTTGCTGAAGTGGTGGCAGTGGTTTCTAATAATACAGTGGTTGTGGCTGTTGTGGTGGTTTGGGAAGGGGCTGTTGAAGATGGAGGCATAGTGGTAGGTAAATCTGGTGAATGAAACAGAAACAAAAACAAACAAGCAAACAAACAAAAAAACTTATCAAGATGAAAATGAAAAAAAAAATAGGCAAACAAGTCAAACTGTCAAAAGCAAGAAAATATATAAACATTTCACTAACAAAAATGGGAGCGTGCAAAGCATTCAGCATTCACAAATGTATACATACAGTACATATAAAGACACAACATACAAGTGATATTCTGTATTTATTTTCCTGCTGCCCTTACTGGAAAATCTCTAAAACAAAATTCCAAGCTGAATGGCAAGACGAGCGAGACTATAACTTGAAAAGTAAAAGAAAAATGTAGAAAGAATGTGGAGATAAAACCATTGGGATATGAATGTCTTGGTTTAAATGAATGACCTTGTAAACATTGAATGTATATTAATGACCCTATTGTTCAATTTCTTTCTAGGATGGAGGATACTGCTCTGAAGCTAATGGTGCCAGAGATTGAAGATCTTTTGTTTGCTTAAACATCTGAGTTAGAATGTTAACAAGCGCACATGTTAGGCAATAAATCACCAAAGTGAGGCTGTTTTATGCTTCTTCTCCTCCTTCTTATCTTCTGGAAGTTTTACTTCTGTCATAGTTTTATATAACCGTGCTCTTAATTCTGAAGTTGTATCTTTAACAACTTCAACTTTCATTTTATTTCACACATGTGAGAACAAAATGAATGGATACAGAAATATACTGATATTAATACCATGTGCATACCATTACCATTAATACCATGTGCATGAAAGTATTGTTGAAAATTGATTTAATGTAAAACCAAGATTATTTTTGCCTGTGTTGTGTTTTATAAAACAACCACTTTTATAAAACAACCATGTCAACCATTTTGACTTTACATTCTCCAATAACACATATCAATGACAAAAGTAACCAAAATATGCAGGTATTCTGATGTTTGCATCTATTTGTTATATTTGACACATACAGTCCTGTATTTATATTTTGGGCTTATATATTTATATGATGGGCTTATGTTTTAAAAGATGCTTTTACTGCAAAAATATCCTAACAAATGAATACATTAAGCACGTGTCACTTACCTGCTGAGCTAATTGACTTGTTGAAAATTTGTTGATTTTTATAGATACAGTACGACACATTTCTAACTTAAAAGCCTATCAGAATTTACAGGAATTTTAGTTCAATGTTCTATTATTTTTTAATATCTGTTTCTATTATATACCGTATAAAGGGTTCTGTAAGATATTTGGGCATGTGGAAGGAAGTCAAAGTGAAAACAATTGTTTTTAGCAATGTGGAATTTCCTTCTACGATTTCCATTTTTATAGCTATGATATTTTGTAATGTGTTCATTATTTTTCATGTTGACACAGTTTTTGTTAGTGATTTAAAGACATGTCTAAACATTTAAATCACCTCTAGCCTTTATCGATCCAATGCTAAATGAAGGTCTCCACAAGCGTCTTGTTAGCATTAATTTCACCTTTTTATCTTACAGGAGGTTATCTTCTTGGTTGTTTTTGGCCTCTTGGGATCCTGCTACCAACAATGATCTGTCCTTCCTGTTGTGTGTTTGACCCACTGACATTTCAGTCTCTTCACTGTTATAACAATGCCATACACTTTTGTTTGTGCTCCAATCCATTTATTTTCTCTTCTGACTCTCCTTGTTATCCTACATGTGTATCTTTCCATGTGTCTCTAGGTGCTCTGTGGTCTCTCTGTTGTTTTTGCTGGTGTTTATGTTTAACATCCATATGTTAACACAAGCAACAGTAGCCAAAAACCTTGTTATATAGGTATAGGCAGATTACCCTTTAGAATCATACTTGATATTCCAAAATCATTGCAGATGCTATATGTTCTTTAAGCTGATTTTAGTTCTTCCAATGCACAAAGCTGTTGATGTCTTGTACTGTAGCTTAACAGTATTTGCTTTAGTTTCCTTAAGTAAACTGTATCTGTAAGGTGTGAACATTTAAATTAATTCTCAGTTCTGCTTGGATGCTAGGTTCATATATCTCTTAAAATTGTAATTGCAGTTCCTTTGGGTTTAGTACAAATTTAATTATGCAGTCAGAGAATCATGGACTATATAAGAAGGTTCCATTAATCTTCTTTTTTTCCGTCCCGATTCAGTATCTTAGAAACTGCTTGAAATGTGGCTGTGCAGAACTTTGGGGATATTGATTCTCCCTGCAGACACCTTTCTTGAATTTTATGATGAATATATTTATATATACAGGTATATACATTTGTGTATATCCATGCAGGTAAGCCAGTATGTTCTTTTTAAATTTATATTCCAATGTGTCGTCTGACATCACAGAATTGTGTTTTATGTTTTGTTTTTGTTTTTTTAAAGAGTCTATTTAAAAGAGAACATGAAGTGTCTCTTTCACAGCATGTAGTTTTTAACTTGGTAATGTGAACCAAAAAAACTCTACATTTCCTGATGTGCCACACATTTAAAGAATACAGTGAAGTAATATTTTTACTGTACAGTATAATATTAGCATTGTTCTTGCAGACTGTCTTCATTATGATGCCATTACTTACACCACTGTTTTGCAAGTGATCATAAAAGTTATATTAAAACATTTTGAGTGGTGCATACTGTACCTCAATGGCAAATTGCAATATGAACAATTTAAATAGGGTATTGATCTAAATATAGTATCTGAATATAGTATAGTGACGAATATCAGCTACAATGTACATGGCAAAGTCTCTCAAATCACTACACAAAACATTTATTTTAATCTGGCGTCTTTTCCTACAAAATACAATATTTCTTAAAGCCATGATGTATAATATATTAAAATCTAAAATAAAATGATATTTTTTCTATTAAGTATTAATACACAATTATATTGCATGCTGTATTAATTACAAAAAACAATAATTATGTTTGTGTTATACAGGATTGTGACATACAGTATATAATTTGGAGTTAAGGTAGCAGGGAGACAACAACATTCTGTCTCATTTTTTGAAAAAAATAAACCGCCCATGATGCGGTGCTTCATGTGAAACCTTGGTGCCTACAGTGTATACTAACTAACAGCCCCTGCATTCTAGATAGCTGCGTCTGTATCTGAATTGAAGAGATATACACTGTATATACACGTTAGAAAATAAGCATGCAATATGAATTTTCCAATAGCACATGTAGATTCTTAGGATTTTACAACATCCAATCTACTTTGTCAATAGAAAACTCTCCATGTCATACTGCATCAGAGGGCTGGTGGGCTTGCATTCCCATTCAAACAGGGGTAACTTGACTAACTGGGAACGAATTAATCAATACTTGTGAGTTCTCCAGTAGAAGCTGGAATCTGTTGCAGAGAAAAAAAATGTCTGGTCTTCCCTAATCAACAAGCGGCATCTAGGGACCTCACTAGAACAAGCAGATTGAAAACAGATGAATGGAATACAACAGTTTATACTGTATACTGTATTTTATACAATACAGTATATATTGTACTGTAGTAAGGAGTGAAAAAGTGATTGTGGTATTCTCTACTGTATGGAATCACTTTGAAGAATTTAAATAAGAGCCATATAACATATTCCATCTTCTTACATCCAAATTCCAAAGGAGAATATGTTAATTACTTTATGTGCATAATATTCAATATTATTCAATAAAACATGAATCCTGGGTAATACTGTTAGAAACAATAAGTGAAATAATCCTACTTCAAAGGCTTATATGACTAAAAATTCAGATTTATAGCTCACATAATATTTGAGAAATTCATACTGAGTGACATAAAAATAACACAAATCCCTTTTCATAATAATAAAGTGCCCTTTTCTTAATGATAAAACTACATGTAGGGACATATTGAAGGGAGTCAAAAATGCACAGTACCATCATAAAAGTTTTCCAGGAAAAAACTAAAATATCACACACTCTGCCTAAAATAAATGACAATCTTTGATTCAATAGTACTAAAATTAATAAAACAAATACATTTTTGAGGAAAAGGATAACAATGGAGATAGATATTTGTAGCACTTGTAAGAGATGGTGAACATGAAACAACGTAAGAAATTGAATGCAAGAAAATTATAAATTGAAAGGGGTGATTCAGCAAATAATATCTCTTTGAAGAAAACTAGCACAGTTTTCTTGTTCAATCACCCTTTGAAATCTTAAAATCTGGTGCATATATTACATGCTACTCTGACATAGTCTAGCACATAATATAATAGCCCACAGAGGTGATAATGAAGTTGAAAAGCTTAATTAAAATGAGATATTTTCACATAGTGAAACATAAAACAGTAGGGGAAAATTAGTTTAAACACTACTATTGTAACAACACTTGACAGAATTAAAGTCAGTAGGATACCATTATGTTTCTTCTATGCACAATCACAGCACATATTCTGAAACTGAAGGAGCTCCAGGTACGGTTCAACAACAAAATGTCACAGCAAAATAAATTATGTCCAAAATGCAGCTTTCTTTCCTTCATAGATCATGTTTAAAGCACTCTGCTGAAAATAAACAAATTCTAAAAGTTAACTTATATTTACGTTTAATTAAAATCCTTCTTAAACAATATTTGGGTGGAAAGGAACAAGTAAAGGTTTATTTCTTTCTGCAAAGAGAAGAAAGGAAACACAATGTTTTTTCTGTGGAGCCTTCTTCAGGTGTCTGCTTTCGCAGCTACTGTACCTACTTGAAATATTTGGGTGCTTCTTTAATGTCGAAAGGAGCCCAAATCATTAATGAATAAAATGAGCAGGTTGTGCATTTTCAATGACACTAATGAATTCCAGCAGTGTACTCCTTTTCTGTGGCACCTAATTACCTTTGCACTGCAAAGTTGTCAGATTTATAACATCAGCATCATTTAATGCTTTTGTGTTACTGTTGTTGCTACACGAAGGCTGACATTTCAGAACACCAGGAGAAGCTGCTTGGGTTTTAAGAACATTGAATGGAAGTGCTAATTAAATTTCTTTTGGCCTTCTGAAAATACAAA